TCACAGTTGTGAGTCACACAATGTTATGATTTTCGCACATGACGCAATTTAGGAGTCATGGGTTTCACTCAGGTGACGCAAATTGCGCACCTGACTTGGTTATTAGGTTTTGATTGGTTTTAGGTATGTTGTGTAGCGACTCATAGAAGTCGGCTGATGGATTTTATGTGACTCACAGTTATGAGTCACAGGGTTCGCGTGATGTAGGGTATGAGTCACGCCAGGTGAAGAACTACTATATAAGAGATCGCTAGGACCCAGAGTATTAGTTCTTCACACCTTCTTCTTGTTTATTTCCTACCTTTAAGTTATTACAATAAAACCTACCTTTACGCTCTTTAAGATTCCTCTTAAGAAATCCAAGAATTGTCTCTCCTCCCAAGCGAGAAAACTATTTCTCCTCCCACGTCGAACGATTAAGTCCTAGGCGAGGACTTAAGAAGATCAGAGGAATAGGCGCGATAAGGTAGAAGTCGGAAGGACTTAGCTATCCACATCGCATAGGCATCAGCCTAAGAACTCTTACCTTGATATGCATTAAGAATCGTTACCTGTCGCACCCTCGTGCCCATTAGGATTCTTAACACCAACGTGGATGTAGAAGACATTGATCTCAGTGATGGGGGAGCAATAACACACCGTCACGGGTCACAGACAGTGAACAGAGAGAATACCAACTGAGGGAAAACAGTTCAGATTTTGACTGCTGCTGGATCACAGTGATCCTGTCCTTCTCTGCCACTGCCTGCTGTCCCTGCCAGTATCATTCATGTTAGAGCCTCTACTCCTAGTGTTCCCTCGTTAATCTCAGCAAGGAATATATCTCTACCATGTCACTCAAGTATGCTTTCCTCGGATATCAGAAGCTCTAGGCTGGCAGATCATCTAGATGCAGCCTGATACGATGTTAACTGGCACAGAAGTAGTAGCTGGAAGAATAATATTACAAGACCTGAAAGTTCTATATTATGGCTAGCCAGCAATCTGATTCTCCAATACACTCTTTTTGATGACCCACTACCTAACGTAGTTGTTCTGACGGCCAAAGTATACAGCTTTTGAGAGGATACGTTGAATATGAGTGAGGGTTGCAGATGCATTGAGCCGTCCGAGGATAGCATAACAATAGTAAGTGATTCTAGCCAGACATCTGGACACATGGCAAATTATAATAACCTTGATAGATACGCCAAAAGCACTCAGGTATACAGTTACAATTTGTTTATCATATGAAGTATCACAGTAAAGTTATATGAACTGCCACTGCTACAAGGCACAGCAGCCATCACACATAGAGTAGATTATCTTGTGGAAGGAGACCAGTTCATGTGCGACCCAAAGGGGTATGAGGTTTGTTACCATAACGACTAGCAATGGCTATTGGGTACTACGACAAACTATGTATGAATTTAGACAGCATCTAATTCTACGATTCCTTGCACCCCAGATTCCTGAAGCCATATATGGCAAGTACTTTACCAGAAAGGAAATGCAAGGCAGGATATATCCTGAGTTCCTATCTAGGATTAACGGAACTATGATCTGCTTGACTTGCGCTATACTATGCCACACTCTCTGGGCATGACAAACGGGTAAGTACGAAGAGCGGAAGGACTTCAAACCTGATATTATTATGGGTAAGAATCTCAGAATATTCTAGTGGGCTGTAGTAAAGAAGTCTGGCTAACCCATGACCTGCTTAAGCCCTCTTGGCATGCCAGAGGCAAACATGGCAGAGATTCCCCGCACAGATCCAGGAGCTGTTGGTGCAAAACATCTGCCAAATCATCACCGAAAAGCTCCAGCAACAATACAGGATTCAGAATGATGGAGTAGAAGAGTATGATGATGACATTGACGCTGTAAGCGCAAAGCTCGAGCATAGGAACTCCAACCAGGCTCCAAGCCAATCCTCGCAGGGTAGACAGACAATGACTGACTACCCTCTAGAGGTCTATTTGGGGTGCCAGGGCAGCCGGGAACAGTCGCAGCATGACGATGTTGCTTTGGATTTTAGCTAGACAGCCATTGGACGGGCTCTTCGCTTTCATCATTTTGAACAGAATAGTCTAGACAATATACCGGAACATACGGGACGTCCAATGTCGGGGAGCGTGGGCAGTCCATGTATTTCATCGCACATCTTGCTTTGTCTAGATGATTCACAGTCGGGGTAGGTAACAGCTATAGAAGGACAGTAGGAAGGGAATCTTGATTGTGAGAGAGGAGGCAATAGGTCGCTGGGACCAGGATCGAGAGTTGGCTCGATGGGGTGCATATGGGTACCGGCAGTGCCGGTGGAATTGCAAGCTTCAATAACGCCTAGTGTACTCAATAGATTAAAATGATGGGCCAATCTGACGCCATACCATAGTAAATAGAGTATTTGCGGCACATATTGAGACCAAATTGTAATTGGATATGGTTACCAAAAGTCCTAGAACATATGGAGTATGTTCTAATTATGGCAAGACAATCCTGATGACGTCAATTGAAAGTGTGAAATCAGGATAGAAGAGGTGGGTAATATAGGACTTGGGGCACATGGGAGTAGTTCTTCGAAGTCATGAGACACAGGAGCAGGGACAGAAACTTAGGAGGAGGACAGCGGATGAGACATACGATGGGAGGCAACCAATGTAGATCAGGTCATCCAAAAAGAATTAGCTTTACAGGGACAGGATTGGAACCTGGGGGGAGGATTGATGGGCGTCATGGTGAGAGGCGGAAGCAGCAGAGATTCTCTGGACGCAAAGCAGGCGTGGCTGGATGGCCGGGACACTGGGCAGGAGGTCCAGGGGTGTCCGAATGGCGGCTAGGAGTGGTAAGGGCGTCAGGACGCCAGGCAGGAGTAGTAGGAGCGTCAGGACGCTAGGGGGGAAAGAGCATGGATTGTCACGATGCCCGGAACCGAGCTAGCAAGAGGTCACAATGCAGGGGGGTTGGAGTACCGTGCATCGGGTGAGCATCAGGATATAGGAGGGTGCAGATGCGAACGTCAGGACCCAAGAACAGATTCAGCCGACATCCTGATTAACGGTTTGCGTCCTGTGTGTCCTGTGCTTCTGATGGACAGAACACACAGGACGCAAGAGTAAACTTTTGCTGATGTGGGAACTATTTCCTTAATAGTAAGATAAGAATCATTACCTGTCATACCCCCTTGCCTGGTAGGATTCTTAATACCTATTATGACTGAAAAGCTGAGAAGGTAGAGGCTAATTGGTACATAGTTACTAGTTGCAGAGTTGTAAATATACTTGAACAATTTTGCAGTGCAGTAGAAAGACTACAAAAGGAGTTAAACCCTTTTTCACAATACATTTTATCATAGATACCTGCCCTAAGCTGCATTGTATGACTGATTTTTTTCCATTTTTCTTGATACACTTGTGGCATATTTGCCAAACACATATATTTTTTTACTGCTGAATTTTTTTATTGCTATATATACCATTTTCAACTTTTATTATGATATATTTTTATTGGTATTGTACGTTAGCAAAAGTAAGCGAACATTCTGCATCGCAACACAGAACCCTGCGACATCACAACCCCTCCCCCTTACTCCCCAGCCCCACGATACCTTTATTACAACAGAAAAGATCTCTATAATGCATCCTCGCAGAAGCCATAGGCACAAGCTAATCCCCACCAAGCATCTTACCCCTTATCAAAGAGGTTAAGTGATTGGACAGCGAGAAAAAGGCATCCCATTCTGCGGAATTTCTCATAACCTCAAAATTCCTCTCTCAATGGTTTTCAATACAATCAATAAAACCCAACCAGATAGAGAGGAGAGGAAGCGTTCAGGTAGACCTAGGGGGTCTACTAAAGAGGAGGATGATGCAATGCTAGAGGCAGCTCTTCATAATAGATCTATTACTTATGAAGAGATTGCTGAGAGGGTTGCACCTCAGGTGACTGGACATACTGTAAGGAGAAGGCTTGGGGAAAGGCATTTGCATAAATGGATGGCAAAGGAGAGGGAGCACTTGAGTGAGGAGACTGCTAGAGAGAGATTGGAGTGGGCTTTGGCTCATAGGAATTGGACAAGAGAGATGTGAAGGAAGAGAGCAATGTGGGGAGATGAGATTACAGTAGAAAGAGGTGGGGGTAAGAGAAGGAAATGGATATTTAGATATCCTAAAGATAAGTGGAATAAGGACTGCATTGAGCCTACTGCTAGGAAAGGTGAGAGAAAGGTTAGTCAAATGATGACTGGTTTTTTTTATGGTCAAAAATATGGTCTTTTTCTTCCTGTTTTTCCTGATCCTAATTCTGCTGGTGGAGGAGTTACTTCAAGATCTATTATTCAGGTTTATGATCAGTATGATTTCACAGGTATATGGAAGGAAATAAGAGCAGAAAGAGCAGAGGAGGAAATTTTTTTGATTATTGACAATGCCAAAACTCATCTTCCCTTCATGAGATGGCTCAGATCTAAAGGTATTACTATCAAACAAATCCCTTCCTACTCCCCAGATCTTAACCCTATTGAACATGTTTGGTCACTTATAAAAGACATGCTTAATAAGAAATACCCAGAGCTTTATCTCATGAAGGAATCTAAAGATGAGATCAGAAAGGCTATTGAAGAGGCAGTTACTTTTTGTTGGGAGCTTTTAAACCCAAAGGTCTTTGATAAGTTGGCAGAATCTATGGTTGACAGGATTGAGGCAATTATTGATGCAGATGGATGGTACACAAAGTATTAATTAGCTCTATGTATTTACATTATTTTTAAACATTGTTTATTTGTGGTTTTGGTAGCCATCGGTTGAGTAGCCATGCATTGATACCAGAGTGTGCGCCGTTGCATCGTGATGTTCGCTTACTTTTGCTAACGTACAATACATGCCGAACAGAGCCTTATTTTTTCTTTTTTTTTTGGAAGGAATCTTTAAGCTAGATACAAGATGCTAAACAATATGTAACTGCTTACTCCTATCTCATACCCTAGAGAATTCCAAACCCTCTTCTCTATTGGTATATACTATAATTTGGAATCATTATGGATTAATCTTTAACAAGTAACTGCTCCAGTGTGTGCAAAAAGATTGATGTAGGAGGCTGTAGAGCAAAACAAAAAAATAACCTCTTTTATATTGGATCTCTTTATACGGGAAACCTAGACTATTACGAACCCTGCTCCCATACAAATAGTTATAAGGGCTTTCGTTCAACCTTGCTATAGTGAACGAAAAATCCTGAACCCTTGACATTCGTTATAACGAGGTGGGACTGCAATTTAATCATGTCACTACGGTAGTGCAGGAAAAAAAAAAAAAACCTTCATCTTCAGTCCAAACCCTGACCACCTCCAACCTCGATGCCAACCTCCAGAGGGGCAACCTCCCTGTGGCTCAGCAGTACCTCCACTCACCCCCTCCGTTTTCGCCTCTTCGGGACGTCAATACCACAACTCCGTCTAACAATGGAGCAAACGGGGGAGAAAATATACTCCAGTTGGTCACAAAAGGATTTGATAGCACGGATCTTAGAATTGGAGGGAAAGAAGGATAAGTGAGGGAGCCACCACACTCTTGGCCCTTTTCCCGAATAGCAACTAATAATGCCCAGAATCAAAATTATACATCCCAAAAATTCCAAGCGGAAATTCGACCCTTCTTTATACTCTACCCGACACATTGCCCTGCGGATAGCGTATCTAGGAGGGAATTACACTGGTTTCGAGTATCATCCGAATAGCCCCAACCCCACAGACACCATCGAAGAGCAGATATTTAGAGCTTTACTAAAGGCTCGGTTGGTCCCCAGCAACGGTGTTGAAGGTGAGGAGGAAACAGTGCTTGGATGGCCTGGTGATGAAGTAGCCGAGTATTCAAAATGTGGCAGAACCGATACAGGGGTCTCAGCCTTTGGGCAGGTTATCGGTGTTCGAGTGCGCAGTAACAGGCCGCGGCCCAAAAAGCCTGCTGATGAGGTTGCAGAAGAGGACGACGAGGGAGAGAGAGAGAGAGCTGAATTTGACGACGAAAAGGATGAACTTCCATACCTACAGATCTTGAATCGACTACTTCCAAAAGACATTAGAGCCCTAGCCTGGTGTCCACATCCCCCGCCTGCATTTTCCGCTCGGTTCAACTGCCAGCAAAGACACTACCGCTACTTCTTTACAAACCCCGCCATAGCACCCTCACCAAACTCAACAGTCGGAAGCCTAGACATTGACAAAATGCGTGAAGCCGCAAGACTCTACATTGGCGACCACGACTTCAGAAACTTCTGCAAACTCGATGCAAGCAAGCAAATCACCCGCTTCGACCGGATAATCCATCACGCAGATATCGTCGAGCTACGGCAATCATCACCAAGCAACAGTCCAAAAGTGTACTACTTTGAACTCCATGGGTCGGCATTTCTCTGGCACCAAGTCCGACACATGGTTGCCATCTTATTCCTGATCGCCCAGGGGCTAGAACCACCCAGCCTGGTTACTGAAATGCTGGACATCTCCAAAAACCCTCGGAAGCCAATGTACGAGATGGCCGACGACAGGGCTCTCGTTCTCTGGGATTGCGTCTTCCCGGACGGAATGCTGCAATGGCTGTACCCGCGCGGAACCAGACTGGAAGGTCGCAACGAAGTTCTTGACGACGTCTGGTCCAGATGGCATAAATCTAAGATCGATGAGATACTAACAAGTGGATTGATGAAGATAGTTTCCGCAAACGGAGACCCGGCTTCAAATTCTGGGCTCCAGTGCACACCTGCGATGCTCGGTTCGGGAGAATTTTCCATAACCACACAGGAAATGGGGGTAGCAAAGAGGAAAGCCAAGGGCAAGTCACAGATCCTTGTCCTGGGCGGCCCCGAGCCGTTATTTAGGGGGACGTATATTCCTATCTTGGAGAGAAAACGGATGGAGGATATCGAGGTTCTCAACGCGAGATATGTGGAGAAGAAGGGCGATTGGCAGGAGAATAGGAAGAAGAGGCAGGCGAAGAGGAAAGCAGCCGATATCTCGGAGGAGATTATGCAAACGAGCGTGAGCTTATGATGCGGCTGTATTCTCCGGGCCGTGTATCGTTTGGATGATTCTGGGGCACAATCAGCTTGTAAATATAAGTTAGAGCAAAGAATATGGTTGGATGTGCTTTCGCATTCCCCCTCATTAGAAATTTTGGCGTCAATCTAACGCGGGCTCCCTGTCCTACAAACTAAGTTAACCCTCATCCCAACCAGCAGAGATGTCTTCACCAAACAACCCTCGGGAAAGCCGTTTCCCGCTCTAGAAGGATGCCTCACACAATATGGGTACGGCAGCAACGGCTGTCGGATTGGGGAGACCGCCGGCCATATCCTCCAACTGTACCTGTACTAGTACAGCATCCCACTGTTTGTCTGCTGCCGAAGTCCAAACTCCACATCAACTCGAATCGTAAGTCTATACTCGACCCCTAGTCAAGCTATTTTACGGCACCCCCGGGTTTTCTCCGCCATCTTCTCAACTACAAACCGGTTCCTTCGTTCTTTCCTCCTACTGATTCGCCGGGGTTCGCCCTGTTCCGAGAAGGCTCGAGCCAATGGCATATAGTTGGCCTCTTACGTACTGTATTACTCCAATTCCTCTCCCCTTCTCGTGTAGGGCGGGGCGAGTCGCTGGCAGCGCAGAAATGTTTTGGGGGAGGGGTTTATTTTAGTGAGGACACTGATAATCTTCGCAAACACCTCGTCCGGGTTGCACGGGAGCGCCCCCGAAAAATCGGGTCTCCATCGCCGGTGGCCTAAAGTAGCTCGCCGTAGTCGTGATACCGTATTTGACAACAACAGTTCAGTTCAAGGTTACTTGTACGATACTCAAGCACGATATCATAACGTTTTCCCCCCCGCCTTGTTCCCACTGGAACAATCCGTCCCCCCCCCCTCGCACGGCCTCGCAGGAGCTAGCGTGGCCTTTGTTCTTCTTACCCCTGAACGCCCCCCCATCTTAGCAGAAAGCCTTCGGCACAGTGCACAAACCCAAATTTCTGTATCACCCTTCCACCCTCATTATCGGAGCAATTGCCACGCTACGAGTGCTTTGGGCCCGCTCGTGGATGACCGCCATCTCACGAGAGCACAAGCCAAGGTGCAGAGCCATTTTATATGCTCCCCGAACCCACGTGGCCACAAAACGATCTCATTTTAACACAATGTGCGTTGAGTGCCAAATGTCCTGAGTGGCACAGTACAGTACTCGTAACCTACCTGTGGTACAAGTGCGCGATCATCTCGGGGGAGCGGAAGGCTATAGAGTTGCTCGAAATGCACATACACGATCATGCTAGACTATGATAGGATAGAAAATTGAGTTGGGTTCAATGCCTCAATTGTGTGCGCTGAAGCTCTCTCTCTCGAGGGGTATCCGTTCCGGTGGGAGGACCTCGATTTTTGTTGGCGGGCGGGCTGATAAACGCACAAGTAGCGCACGACCTATGCTCCGGCAGCTTTCAATCGGAGCTGTTGACGACAGACGGGTCCGTACCGGTTCAGGCCGGGGGCTCGGTTCGTGATGCGATACGGTAGAGTGAGGCGGGGTATACTGTACAAGTACCATACTCGTACTGAACTGTACTCGTACTGTACCGCAAGGTTATCCACGTGAAGAGTGAAGACCTCGTGCGTGGGTGAGGCGGGAAGTAGGCGAATCTGGGGATCAAAAAAAAAAAAAGCTATGATGCCTTCCTTGTATTCACCTCTGTTACAATCTACGAGTGATAGGCACTCGAGTATGAGTCGTAAACCGTACACGTCCCAGGCATATTGAACCCGAACACAGGGGGCAAGAATGGGGGCGAAGTGAATTAGCGAAATTAGTAGAAAAAAGAAAAAAACAAGGAGAAAAAGGAGCAAGAATAGTCCACAAAACTCCTTTTCACCCCAACCGACCCAACCTACTGGTATCGTGAACGTGAATTATC